GCTGTAAGACTAATCGTTCTATTCATAGCATATTAAACACTGTCCTCTATTATTTACTTTACAACCATCTAAATAAGAGTATGGATGTATACGAAACTCAGATCAAAGCCCAGTACCTAAGTTCTGGGTAACTCACCGAACCCAAGTCAACATAAGAGTAGGTTTATCACGCCTGGTAGGCCTCACACTACTAAGCTACGGTCTTAGTTCTCTATTGAATGTGTCGACTTTGTCCAAGGAGGCTTCAATATGTAATATGACAATGCGGAAGTACCTAGACGGCCTCTCTATGTCAAGCCACCAGCCTTATAGGAGATTATTTCTCTATGTATTGAACCAGTCAGGAAATTTATGGTAGATCTACAATCTCGGTTTATAGAAAAAGGCGCTCCTAGTAAGGGTCATGTTCATTTATAATCTTCAAATGCCATTGTTAGACAATATAGAACGATCACGATGCTGCTACGAATTTGAAAAGCTCTTCCTTTTTATGGCAGGTACCTACTTCATCTCTACTATTCTCTAATAAGATATCACAACATACCATACAGCCTCAGATCAACTATTCAAAACTTGTCACCGAGTTGTAATAGATACTTATTGTTACTTCAACTTTCAAAAGGATTTGGCCGGTCTTCGCAGCACTGACACAATCCCTACACTAATATATAGAACTGAACAAGAGAGTTGCAGAATCCACAAAACATGTACCTACCTCTACTTAGACAATTAAAAAGCATATTTTCCCGTCTTATTGTAGTTTTTCTTTTTCCATGTCCCCATGTATTAGATCTGAAACCTCCTAGCTCCTACACGCAAGCCACTCTTCTCTACCATGATGATGTTTCCCCGGCCCGGTATGTATGGCCGGGAAAAGAAAAAGGGACCTCGGGACCTAGTATCAGCCTTTGACGTAGTTGGTACCCTAGGTTACGCCAATTAAAAAGAAATACTTCACCAAATTGACGACTTCAACCATGTTGATTAGAAGTATATATGTATGTATCTACCTAGGTATCTAGGTATTCCCAGTAACAGCTATCTTTGCAGTATCGTACCAACACTCCCAACAAACGCCCTCCCCCACCTAATCTCGTCTCTTTTCTTCTTTCTTTTCTACCTCTCTTATTTTTTTCTCTAACCCTTCCCCTTTCTCCCCTCCCGCAAAAGGATCAACCCCCGGGTCCGTATTCCGCACGTACTCAGACGCATCGGCCAGCGTGCGCGCCACATCCTCGCCCCACTGGTCGCCTACGAAGGCGTACATCATGTCGATGCCGGCCGAGATGCCCGACGACGTCCAGATGTTCCCGTCCGTGACCCAGCGCGCGTGGCGCACCCAGTTTACGTTTGGGCCTTGGGCTGTGGCCTTTTGTCTCGTTGAGCGGTTAGATGTGTTGTGTTAATTCTCTAGAGATACGGAAATAGGGGTGATAGGGATAGGGGGATAACGGAATGCGGTAGATGGGATAGTGGAAAGGGAAGGGGAAAGAGGGAGGAACAACGCACCCACTCCCAAGCTCGCTTATTCGAGGTCGCGCGCCTCCCGTCCAGGACCCCGGATTTGGCCGCCACGGCGCTGCCCGTGCACACCGTGAGCAGGTACCGCAGACGCGGGTACGCCCCGCGCACGAAGTCGACGATCTCCCGTATATTCTCCGGATCCCGGGTCCCTGCGCCGCCGGGCAAGAGCAGTACCTCGATATCATCGGGACTGTCTGCGTAAGTATGAGTAGGGACTACGGCTTGGCTAACGTTGTGGCCCGAGGCGGGAGTCTTAGTCGAGACGGGGTCCAGCGTTGCGGATAGGATGTATAGAGATAGCGGTGTCTGCTTGGATAGCATGTTCAGGATGTCGAGAGGCCCGAAGACATCTAGTGCTTGGAAGCCCGGGAATAGGGCCACGGCGAAGCGCGTTGGAGGACTGCGGCTGTTGGAGTCTTGGACTGGCATGGTTGCTGAGTGGAGTAGCTTGAAATGGGATGCTTGCTTAATTAGCGATCTTAGGACAAATGAATAACAGATGAATTCTCCATATATTTACCTACGGGTAGTAAATTAGACAAAGGGTGTAGAGAATGCTTAGCTACCTAGGCATCTAGATATTTCCGCCACTCAGCAGCCGCGCCGTCAGCAAAACTTTAGGGATGTATTTTATATACGGAAAGGCGTGAATGATGCGAAGGTCGCCAAGGATCACGATCCGGGCTCGGAAACGGAGGGTCGAGCTGAGTAATACGGAACACTTGACGTGGACTAGTGCCGTATGCCTGCATATATCTTTGTTGAATAATCCGCATCATGCCCATGGGACCGAGGGAAGTTACGGAACCCGCAATATGCAGGGGTTTCTCAATAGGTACCTTAGTCCGATATCCCTCGGCGTTCCACTGACTCGTATGTCGTAGAGTAATGTGGATTAGTGAGACGACCCGGACCGGGCTCGGCTTGTACGGGACTGTCCAGACAATGGTAAGGAAGCCCCTTTTTATTCATGCAAGTGTTCAAGTAAGAGACAGCGTGAGTAATAATATGAGTTGTAATTGACAGCTAACTGGAGCTAAGCACATTCTAAGTAATATCTAGGTAAAAAACGAAGGATGCTAATGAAATCAAAGCTTTGCTGGGAGACTCGATCTATAGTGAGATATGTACGATCTGCTGCATACTTCAACGAACAACAAAGCGAAGAGAATCGGAAATAAAACCCAGTGTTCTAGTTACCAGAGTGATTGAAGTAGCTCTGATCGACATCACCCTTGTTCGTGCCGATCTGAACTTGATAGACGTAACTGTCAACTTGGACGTCCTGGCCACCATAAATGCCAAATTTGGGATCGCTCTGGCCAGGAAACATGTTGCCGGTCAGGATCTGGGACTTGGTGGTATCGAAGGTAACAGGCCTTCCATTGAGCCAGAGCTTGGCGTGACCACCGTCCGCCTTAGCCAGGATCTCCAAGCCGATTTTGTACTCGGTGCGTGGCTTGATGTCTTGCGACCATTGAACCTTGCGGCCATCCTTCCACTTGAAGGTGTGCGAGAACTCAAGCTTGTTGTTGCGTACTTCGAGAGCCAGAGGGATGTTGGCACCTCCGTCTTTGTCGTTGTTGGCCTTGTACTCCTTCCATTGAAACACGATGAGACCGTCAGGCAGTTCCTACAATTCGGGTCAGTTATCATTATCTTTTCCTGTAACAGAAGGAAATAAAAGCAAATGATGGCTTACACCAAGCGCGAATTTATACGTGATGAAATACGTGGTTCCCGCCTTAGTTTCGCCTTTCAGGGAATGGTATTCAGCCCTACCGAACCGCTTGTGTTAGTTTAAATCGCACTAAGAGACATAGTGAATATGAAGTTTCACCTGCGGTATCCTGCCTTATGGTGGAAGTGTGCTGCACCATTTATACCCTTGAAATCTTTATCTAATTTGATGTATAAGTCAGGAGTGTTGCTCTTGGGCCTATCGCCCTTGCCCTTTTCGAGATTGAGAGTACCGAGTGTCTTGGGGTCATCACCGCGGGAGGCGAGGAAGTCGACGAGAGGCGCCTTTCGAGCGCTTAGGTCGGCTCGTACGGGTTCCCCTTGGACCGGCTGGGCCGAAACAAGCGACACAAGGAAAGTACCTAGGAATAAGTAGAGAAATAACATATTGTTTAAGTGGGTTACCGGTATTGATATGCGTCTCGAGTCTACTGCTGGCCTTGGAGGAGGAAATAAGGGCTTCATATCCCTTATTTATAGAGTGTGGCATTAGCTGGCTGCCTCTACTGGGTTGCTTGACACTTCAATGCTTAGAGAATATGCGGGTCATTTTCCCAATCGGACCTCAGGGGTTCCAGCCTGTGAGCAAAAGCTAGTGCTAAAAAGCCTTATGAGTACCAGGATCTACCTTATTATTGTTTTTCCTAACGCCCAAAGCAGTATTTCTCGCACTATGGTTCTGTATATGGTTGAGAGTGATAAACGGGACTAACGTAAGCCGTCGCGAGGCAGTCTACGGGTATACCGAGGCGGCGAAGCAACTTATTCGCATCAGGTGCAAATTCTAACACTTGAAACATATTTTTGGTCTCTAGAAATGACTTAAAAGATATTTTCTATTATTATTCACGTGAGAATATAGGGATGTTTAGGCAAGACTACCCGTTTAGCTCTCTAAGCTGCGATGAGACTGGGGACTTTCTGTCCCCCTAAACACTAGACGCATGTCAGCACCCTAAATTTCACTATTGCTTATATAAGTCGTCGCACCGCGGTATCATCCCAAATTTGGTATTGCCCATAGACTTCATCATAGTAGGTCTGAGTAGATACATGTATTTTTAGGTAAGAAAATCAACTCTAGTATTTGAATGCCTAGCTGTATGGTAACCTACGTGTGGCTTTATACCGGTCCATAGTAAGAGACCAGACAACGGATTTTGTACACGGGACTAACGCAAACAGGAGGACTATTTTAAAGCGTAGAAAAGCTGAGGAGTTCATGTTTATGGCCTCGAGATTAGGTACCTTAGAAGCAGTCACTCATTATGGGGAAAAGTTACTGCCAATCACCTTTAGTATCCCTTCTAAGACTTCCATTGGCTACGAATAGGTCCTCATGGTACGTTGACTGGAGAAGGGAGAAGGCCCCAGGCTAAGGTTGCTAACTGCCCGGACTCCATAGGTAGACCTTGTATGCCTTCAGCGTAAAACACAATGAGCTTATTAGAATTATAGCGATTTTCAAATATCCCTGATGTGTAATGTTATTGAAAGAATACCTCATAGTCAACATCCAGGTGACGGACACCATCTTCGTAGGCTACATAGCATGTTAGTCATAGATGTGGTCCAGAAAGAAGAAAATCAGAACGGGACGAACTTAGTATCACGTAGGTTGGTTTGACTTAAAAGCATTTAATGTGTATTGACCTACTTCCTAGTTCAACAGGCAAATATTCCAAAGCAAATAAACGAATACAAAATCCAAGCAACAGGGAATAGAAAAAGATGATGACCTGCACCGGGATTCGAACCCGGGTTCCCGACTAACTCTGACTACAAGGTCGGAGTCCGGTGAGTTAACCACTACTCCATGCAGGCTGAGGGTGTTTGTAGGCTGTGAGGGCCTACCGTCTTGTTCTGGGAAATCCAGCTGATGCTTGGATATATATGACTCTTAATCTTCTCTCGGTGGCATCATATTATGGAAAACCGGATCACTTCCGGCCAGCACCTCCCTCCGTTGCGGAAAGAACTTGGCGGTAATTCGGTACGGCCCGCATGTTATGCAGTGTACCTGAGCTCGGCACCTGCCCGGATGACTAGGCATCGAAAGGCCGTGGCCAATGGGGGCTCAGTACCGACTTGCATGTGACCATATACTTAGATGCTAAGCTCCCTAGTAGCTTTGTGAAAATCACCTCATATATAGATAGCTTCGTTCTGGGGATCCACCTCCCTATGTGCTCCTACCTTGAGTAGATATGGAGGGCTGTCTAGGTAAGTAGCATAGGGCTTAGTGCAAAGTACACACACTCAGGTTACACCAAATTCACATTGTGGTTACGCCGTTCATTAACAGGACAAAGGCTCCTCAAAGACATAGACATTAACTCTAACTCAGTACCAATACCTTTGATCCATATGAAAGAAGTTACACAGCGAGTAGGACTTTCGCTTTTACTTTGTGATTCAGGTTGCATCCTTGTAATTCCTCTTCAGCACCTTTCATTTCGCGATGACTTTTTTTGTAGCCAGAGTGCCTTTATGTAGTGACAAGGAGTCATGATTCACAGGTGTCTTACATCTAAGGAATTCCTACCTTGCGGGCTTACTTTAGTAGAAATTGAAAACTAATTGACAGCTCGCCAGCAGATAGATTGACGATTTGAAACCCTAAAGGCGGCCCTCGCATATTCATCCCTACAATTGATATTGTAATCGACAACCAAGATGTCTGGCTCCAGGCCTCGAAATTCCCAGCCGTCCAAGATCGTCGTTGCGTTCAATCCGAACGAAGATGAGTTCCGAGATGTGCGTTCAAGATGCGCCAAAGCTTGCGCTGATTATAACAGGGTTAACGAGTATACCGGCAACATTGAAAGGGGCCACCGGCTTATGAAGATCCTCTATCCTAGCGCAGCACATTTCATACCACCCTTCAAGGTGCGGGCGCCGTTCCACGTGGACTATGGCATGCGAGTATATATCCACGAGACTGTAATCATCGGGCGCGATTGCAAGATCATCGATACGCCCGTCGCCGACATCAAGATTGGAAAGTACTGCAGCATAGGACAAAACGTCACTATTGTCTCTACTGGGCCTCCTCTAGCACCAATTAATCCCCAGGGCCTGGTAAGTGGACGTCGCGAAATCACGGGACAGCCCATTACAATCTGTGATTGTGCTTGGATAGGAGCTTCTGCTATTATTGGCCCTGGCGTCCTTATTGGAGAGTGTGCCGTGGTCGCACCGGGCGCAGTGGTGTTAGATGATGTTCCTCCACACGCTGAAGTCCAGGGGAATCCAGCAGTTGTCACCAACGGAACGAAAGCAGTAATGTCAATATAGGTCGATGCTGAAGCGGAAGCAAACGAGGAGGCAGGCCAGCCTCATTCACCGGTTGTCTATTACCAGATGAGATAGTCAAGCGCTAATATTACCGTAGAGTGTAATTATAAGTATTAGAAATTTAGGACCATCTTATACATACCTGAAGTAGGTACCTACGTAGAAGCCTTGGGTACCTACCCGTAACATTGACTTCTAATGGAAAAGCTTCCAAGAATATGCTCCGAAAAAAAATTGTGATATTTGATCGCATTTATCTTTTTATTGTACGCATGCTCTGTTGGATACCTAGTTCCCATCATTTTCAGGTATTGGCAGTGGCAGGGGCTGTTGGCTCTGCTTCAACTTTCGCGCACACCTGTAGATCCTCCCCATCGTTTCAATGTATTTGGGTACCTCTTCTTCGGAATCGCCTGCAGATAATCAACTACAATTCAAGGCCCTTGAGATGATGTTTTTAACCTACCAGTGTATTCACTGATCAAATATACGAATTCTGCTGTCTTCAGAGCGCTGACATCTACGATAGAGGTGCAAATTACGCCTTCTAAGAATTAATCTTTTTGGCCTTTTCCTTGGTTGTTCGTAGACTTACAGCCCAGTACGTTCTCATATTTATCGCTAAACCCCTTGCCAGTGAAATTCCACCGCCAGAGCTAATGCGCAGTGAAGTTAGCTTGAATGAGAAATATCCTCTAGTAGGAAAATCGTGTAGTAACATACCATAACATCCAAGCGTATAACACTGTTATGCTGCACGTAGACGAAGAAGGCATCCTTCTCATGCTCTCCAGCATCCGTATTCGAAAGGATATCTTTCAGTGTAGTCGCGACGATTTTCTTCAGGGCTATATTAGGTCGTTCATTCCCCAATGCGAATATAGATTAGTCTCACCTTGAAGCCATCCTTGAGCGAAGCTTCGCTGCTAAGTCCAGTCCTTCCTGTGCTGAGGTAGTTGTCGATGACTTCCGAAACATTTTCCTCCGGCTATAAAAGCCATGAGTATCGAATATCTAGAAATCGGGCCATTCTACTCACAGTGCCTTTGATACCAACGTTTGAATAGCGTGACATGCGTAGGGCGCGAAGTCCAGGGACTTGAGTCTTAGCCACGGCATCCGGATTAAGGAATATCCTTGAAGAGAGGCCCAATTAGCTTTAGAGGCGAGATTCTGTGTACTAGACTTCGTTCTTACTCATGTAGCCTGTGTTCGAATTGACTTAATTTGTACTTGACGGCTTTTTGGAGGATCTCTAGGTCCTGCCTCGCCTTCTGCCTCTCTTGCTCGTCGGCGGCCGACATCTCTTGGTAAATGGCTGAAATAGCTGCACCCACGTTGATGAGATTGAATTAATTCTTAACTTGCTTAAAATGATGAATTTCTTGGATTTTCAGAGGTAGCTCTGTAATCCCTCTATGGGATGATATCGTATTTATACAAGTAAGTACACAGGAAGCATTCTTGTGGACTGGGGGCTGAGGCGCTAATACATCCGCTATTCCCAAGTATTCAGCTTTCAGCTCGGACGCATCTACTACTTGTGGAAGCCGTTGCGGTTCCAGTCTATCGGGACTTTGCTGCAAGTATAATTAACATGCATGTTCTGGCCAGCACCTTGAGACTAGAAGAGACTGAATATTTTAGACTTACTCGACGATAGTAGGTTAGTTGGCATTTCCCAAAACAGACAAGATGTGATCTAGACTCAATTGCATTATACTCGATGCTCTAGTTATAAGTCATCAACTGACCGGCCCATTCCGGCCAGTAAGGACTACTAGTATATTAACAAGATTCCAAATAATATTTCTTTTCGATAAGCTAAACTTTGTTAAATTAATAAGAGACGTATAGAAAGAAGTAGGGAGTAAGAATGGCTTGCCTTTAGATACCCTGGCTGCCTGGTTTGATGGCACTTCCATTTCGGGAAACTGGATCTAGTCTGGACCAATGAGAGAGGCAGGCGCCGTGTAACCTTGAAGCTTGGGTACAGCAGACGGTATCGCAATACTACAAGAAAGTAGGTGCTATTGCCGTCCCCAATACGGTGGGCCATTCCACCACACCATGACGTCGAAAAGGAAGCCAGTCAATACAAACTACATAGTCGAACGCAAGTACGATGCCCTCTCACTTGGGCTGGCCATGTACTTACATGCAATCAATATTGATATATATTGTTCGTCTCTTTCTTGATCACCGTATCCAATGACCTCTGCCACCGAGTAATACTTCTAGAGGATGTCCCTATAGATCATATATATTCAACACTAGCATTTTCTATACTCATTTGCTACTATTTTCGTTTTATTGATCAAAATCACCGCCGTCGATAACCTCTAACATAATTGGGATTACTCGTCGACGGTCGGGTTTAATAATTTTGATGATTGTGAAAACAGACGCCAACCGATATTATGGATCCTAATCCGGATTTGATTTGTGTGGCGTGCCTCGAAATTCCGGGCGAGGCACGAATACTTCGATGTGGATGCGTTTACTGTATGGATTGCTTGGCCATGTATGTCCGAGTTGGCCTGCGGGACAGGACTATCTGGCCACCGCAATGCCACGGACAGCCGCTCACCGATGATGACATCGTGTGGACGCAGGATGAAGACCTCCTAGTGAGGTACAAAGAAACAGAGCGCGGACGTCGGCTGAAGAACCCCCTGTGGTGCGCCCAACCACACTGTAGCGCTCTGCTGCTCGAAGAAAACGTAACGGACGATAAGGGGGATGCTGTGACTTGCGGTTGCAAAACCATTACCTGCAAGAAATGCAAGAAGGCCCACGACCCCAGAACAACAGAGTGCAAGGACTCAGATTCGGATACTGAGTTGGAGAAAATGGCCAATTCCCAAGAGTGGATGAGATGCTCGCATTGTACCAGTATGGTCTCTCGAATAGAAGGATGCATTCACATGAAGTGAGTTTACATACCATCCGTGTTCTGAGTTGCACATTTGTGATATCTTTATCCACCCTTGCCATTTAGCTAGAAAATGCCTACTCACCAGATGCTCTTGGCTCTGCATAGGTGTATCTGCGGCCACCACTTCTGCTATGAATGCGGCGCAACTTGGGGAACCTGCCAGTGCATAAACGCCAACGAAAATCGCGATGAAGAGTATCGCCGTGCTCTTGCGGAAAATGAGAGGCGTTTCAGATATATACATCGAGAGAGTCGTTCAGAGGAGGGTCATCTGCAAGCCCTACGGCTGCTTGAGTGGAGGCAAAATGTCGAGTCGGCAGGTCAAGAGAATTCCCCTCCGCCGCAATGGGCACATCACCATACTCATGGACATCTTCATGCGCATCCCCCCCTTCGGATTACGGAACCCCCGTCTCCTCCCGATCCAATGACATACCTGGAGGCACATCACCGACAACACTCGACCCCTTTACAGAACCCGTTCCGGAGGCAGGAACACGGCGTAAATCATCCAGGCTTCACCCAGCCCGTTCTAAACCCATTAAATCCCCAACCACTGGGCGGTCTATCTCCCATAAACCGGGAGACA